ACAAAGGCGATGCTGACTGCTGGTGTGCGTGCGCCCCCGCCTGGCTCTCCCAGCGAGCTGCCCATGCTGGGCCCGTCACTTCCTCCACCTCGAGTCTCCTCTGCGCACTCACCACCACCATCAACCACTTCGCTCCGTTGCCACAGACAGCCGAGGGCACCCACCCAGTCGGGCAGCAGGCGCGCGCGGTGCGGCGAGAGGCGATGTCGCGACCGCTGCTGCCATTGCCCAGGCAGAGCCGATAGCTGCTGTCGCGATGCAACTGCGTGTCTTCCACTCTCTCAGCGTGCATATTCTGTACTTACGATTGGCTATTGTCGGCTCAAATAGGAACGTTTAAACGAATGTCACTATTGTTGGTTCAAATAAGACAAGTGCTGGCCAAACAACATCAACTCAACCAATAACAGATATGGTTATATTTGGTACTCAAATTTACCCGAAAATTATATACATATGGTAACTTCAGCAATTTCAATGGTAAACATTACAAGTAGACTGGACGTGATTAAACTCTGGCTCGGTTGCTATGACATGGCTTCATTCTCAGTCCGGATTAGTCCCAGGCTCATCACGTTGGTAATAAACACATGCTCACCATCCACACAGTGACCGTGACAACTGCGATTCTTCAAGATCAGGCTGGTGTTTAAAAACGTACAAAGGCCCCCCTTTATGCATGGCCAGGTTTATTGTGGGCCAGAGCCATAGCGCCCTGGAGACACAACGGAGACATTCCAGGTGACAAAGGCCAGCCTCTTGCATAGCCGTGATGTTATAGGTCACCACAAATTAAGCCTCTTTCACAAACACGTCTTTACAATCACTCTCAACTCATCCTATACTCCTTAAAAACATGGTGTTTTACTCCCAATGTTATCTCTATTGTGCTGTTGCATCATGTCACGAAACCAAATATCCATTTTGGGAAATCGTGCAGAAGAGTGGAACCCTTCGTGTTAACGAACATGGAAGGATGATTTAGAGCTACCTCGTGTCCACTGAAGTGACTAAGTCAACAATGTAGAAGGCTGCACTCTCCCACAAGCTCTGGCAAGTGAGAGTAATCTTGGCCGTATGCCAGTCAAATCAATATTTAAATGATCAGAGTTGGAATTGAGTAAAACTCATGTGCAAAACTAAACCTTACGTGATAATGTTAATGGTATCAGCCCGACAGTCATTGGTGACCAGGCTGTGTGAACACATCAATTGCATGTATGTTTATAATTATTGCATAAAAATACAAACACATTTCACGTCTTCTCATTCAGTCTGAAATAATATTGTTTATCATGAACTGATGCATTTTAAATACAAATCCAGGTGAGGCGTAGTGGCCCCGGGCCAGGCCTGCCTCTTCACGCCTCCCGGAGCAAGGGGACCAGGGCCAGGCTCTGGTCGGCCCAGGTCACTCTCCACCACACTCACCATCACCAGCCACGAGCTATCCAATCTGGATTAGGACCAACACCTTGTCCCTGTTTGTCTTTGTTGCGCCATCAATGTCTCCCTCTTTCTGCATCTGTCTGTGTGATTTTGTCATCAACGTCTTTCTCTTTCCACTGCTGCACGTCGATGAACATACTTAAATGACGTGTCCCTATTTCTGTCTCGCGATGGTCATTGTTCAATCTGGTTGAAATTCCACATTAATCTGGTCGTGGCCATTAGATCCATATGACAACCACAGCTGAGTTTTCTACAAAGTGGTACTCGTTTTATCGACCCAGGCGGGATGACGTGCTGAGTCAACTCGCCAACCAAGATTTGAGCTCGCAGCCTTGCGATCGCGAGTCTCTCGCTCTACGGCCGAGTCGCGTGACCGGGTCTGGTAGCCTCTATCAGGCTGCGTCTTTCACAATCGCTGTACTGAGCACGCAAGCTCTGCTTAAACGATGCTCCATCATTTTCCTGGGCAGCGAGCGCATTCATCAAACTCCGCCCATCTCCCCAGCGACCCCATCTACCACCCATTTAGAACGATCTGAATGCACGAGACAGGGAGGCAGGGAGGCTGCCCCTCGCGGGATACACCGAGCCGCTCTGTCCACGCAGATCCCGGGCAACCGCGAGCCCCGCGTGGTGCCCGCACAGAACCCCGGGGCTCATGTCAACGGAGTGCTGCTGGCCACAGTACAACAATCCAATTCATGGTCAATTCTCGCGCAGTTGGACAACTGATGAAACAAACCCCAGTGGCCACCGGAGGTTCACAAGATGTGTGTGATCCACCAACCTTCGTTAGCCTCCACAGCGCTTACAGGCGTGCGCCACTCGGCTTCAATAGATAACATCGACTCCCGGTCGCGATTCACGAACGGATTCATGTTGTGGCTACAATAGTGACGTGATCCCATCACATATGGAATATATCAATGAATAAGCATTGAGTCTGACACGTGAGATGTGATGAACGCATTATGAGTCTATGACCAAATCACTGTGCACCGTCTCATCAGATCTCGAAGGTAACGCAGGGTTGAGGCTGGATTGAGCTTGGATGGGCGGTCACCAAGCGTCAATATAACGTGTTGAAGGCTGCCGAGAGGCTACGCAGTGGGCAGCAGAGGAAAGTGTTGTTGTACTGTACTATGATCCCACGCCTATGGTCCCCGATTTCACTCACCCGCATTTACCGCCGTGCTGTGTGAAATGTGGTCAAACGACACCCGTGAGCCGCACTGCGTGGGGAGGTCCTCGTCCAGCAGTGGATTGGCGAACGGGCCGTACATGTTCACTGTGAGCTTAACAATGGATATTAATTCATTACCTGATGCAATGTTTCACCTCCACAGCCCAAAGGCCGGCAGGCAGAACAGCAGCAGCAGCAGCAGCCAGTCAATACAACATTTGCAGAAGAAGTTGTAGATAAATGATCAGTAATGGCAGATAAACCACCACTATCACCAGCTGCCATAGCAGTCAACAGCAGAAGTATGCAACCACCCAAGACAAACACCACTGGGTACCCGATGAAGTGAAGTGTATTGTGTTTAACTCACAGTCTCACTTGCAAGGTGACCCGGGCAGTGAGCAGTAAAAATAAATATGGGTGTGCAGGTAATATCACAGCAGACTGTTACTATGTAGAAGTCTAATCACAAACATTTGGATACAAATTAGCTTTTAAATGCGCACACCTTGGTTTGCACTCAAAAATTGAAAATAAATAAAGGAAATTAAACATATCGAAAGGAAACCACCCTCTTTTATTCAGCACATCAAATTTGATTAATTCTGGGGTCAAAATAATGTATTTTATTTTTTTGAGTGCAAATAAAAGTGTGTGCATTTAAGAATTAGTTTTAAATTCATAAAAAAAAACTTTTAGTCTTAATATTTGCTTTCAATACTTTAACGATTTCTACCTCCCAAAATGTTTTAATTAAATACATGAAATAGGCTAAATGTGTAAAGTATGTATTAGTTGTGAAAACATATTTATGACTTTTCTGTAAATTTGAGGTTTCCTTATCCAGATCGAGCAATAGTATCAAAACAGTTTCAAAGCATTTTGAAAGGATTACCATCCTTCACGAAAGTTGAGAAATTATCTTAGTCGATCAATCTTATCCAGTGCCTTTTTTCGCATATCGATTATAAAGACGATGTAAAAACACGAAGATGCGCTGGATCGGCGGGACCTTAACCATCTTTTAAATGAAATCTTGAATTGTCACGCGAAACGAGTCTGTGCCGAAAATTTCAGCTCGTAAGGCTTCGTAGATTGGAAGCTATTAAGCGTCAAAGATTTGAAATAATATAAACAGACAACAAGGCAAGTTCAAGAATTTGTCAACTTTAGACCTCACGACTCCTATACCCACGGCTCGTGTGGGGACCCGCCCCGTGCTGCGCGTGGAGTCACAGCATCACGGGTCCGTGCGCTAGAGACGTGAGAGGCGCCTGTCCTCTGGAATCGACTGGACGCAGGTGCCTCCATTCGGGCTGGGTGATGGTTCAATAATAGCAAAGATCACTTGATTGGTGGCAGCGGCAGTTGTCACCCAGGATGTGCGCTGGGTAATTGGCTCAGCTGCTGCCACATAAAGGGACCGTAGGAGGCAACGAGGAGAGGGGATGGCAGTTGGGAATCCGCGTGTATCCGCAGTGAGAAACGACAGGAAGACAGCGAAGGAACCCTGGTTGGGAATTCACGTGGCGGTGAAAATAAGAAACATTTTCAATTGATCATCTCTGTCAGGAAACTCTCTGTGGATGCATGGTTGTGTGATTATAATTCGCTCCAGAGAGTGATACAAATTACGAGCTTTTAACAGTCTTAACTCGATGACATTGGTGATTGGCGGCTGTTTTATCCGCAGATAATCAGATGATTCACGGCTCAAATGGCTCAACGACAATCCAATTTGTGGGCAATCCAGCAACAAAAAATTAAGAGCCTTAGCCACAGAGAAGCCAATTAAATCACAGACCACACTGTCGCAAGCATAATGTGGTCTGGACGTAACTCAAAATAGCTTTCAGATGCATCAGCTTTTAATCATATACTACAGACTCCACGTGAATATTGTATCCATAGCTTTCATTTCGTCCCCCACATCTCCAATACCGACCGTATCCACCACCTCATTAACCTCACATTTCGCCTTGACCAATATAACTCTCTCTATCCTACCATATTCCCTATCCCTCTCAAAATATTTCAAATGAGCCACAATGATGCCACAATATTTCATCCTCACATCCGTTAATGAGAACCACATTAGCCCATCAATCTGAATTGATGGCATAATCATCACGATCTTCTATGGAATCGTCGCTGCATGCATTCTGCACCAGTGACTTGAGGCCTTCTCTTGACGCCGAGTCGCCCTATTCTGAGCTTTAAAATGAGTGCGGAATTGATATAGGGGTTTTATTTTTGAAATTGCAAATGTTAAATGAGCATTGTCTCACCCTGGCAGGAGAGAATGTAATCATTGTAGGCGTCGTCACGACCGCGCACGGCGCCTGCAGTGACTGGGGCAGCTGAACTCCACGCGTCAGCAGCAGGAGCCTCCTCCTCCTCCCCCGGTTATGTTTTATTCGAGAATAGATCACGGATCCATGCAGAGAGCGCGCCGGGCAGCTCGCGAGCCGAGACGGGGCCAACCAGAGGCTTCGAGACGAGGAGACAAAGAGCCGGGAGAGAGAGCAGGAGACGAGGAAGGGGACAATCTAGAAAACATTCATTGACGCGTTCGTCGGCGAGATCGGTGAGAGGCGCCCACAGATCATCAGGGAGGAGGGGAGGCTGAGCAGAGGGGGCCATGGAAGGTTCATACGGAGAGGCGACACGACGCGGGGCGGGGAGTGCATCGCTGCGATAAGGAGGACGAGAGGACAAAGCGAACTGGCAGCGCACACGGCATCACCATCACTACTCCCCCACCACCACCATCACCCCCGTCACCAGATTCACCATCACCACCATCACTACCCTCATACCCGGCGCGTCGGCGTGCGCGCTTGAGGCTGCTGTTTCAGCCGGGCAGGCTGCAGCTGCTGCTGCTGTATTCGGCAGGGGGGCTGTAGGAGTAGGGCGGGCTAGAGCAGGCGTGGTGGGTGTATGAGCCTGCAGTCTCGGCTGGCGGAGTGAGCCAAGCGAGCGGCGAGGCAGCATGCTGTACGTGCAGCTGGTGCTGGGCGCCGGCACGGTGCTGCTCGCCTACCACCTCGAGTGCTCCGACACGTTCCCCGTGACGCAGCGCGGCTTCTTCTGCTGGGAGCGCGCCCTGGCGGCCCCGGACCCGGGTCCCGAGGCTCGGGGGGCCGCGCCCCCCGCCATCCTCTACCCCATCCTCGCCGCGCTGCCCTGCGCCACGGTGAGCCGGGGGGCGGGGGGGGCTGTGACGGCCTTCATCGGTGGCGCTCGCCAACAACACTCGCCCCCAGGGCGATACGGAGGATGAGTGTCGCCTTCGTGGGTATTGGGGAGCGGGAGTGCAGTGGTTAGCGCACTCGGCTACGAACCCGGCAGCCAATATTCAGTGACCAATATCTGAACCGATTCTGGGCCTCCCCTATGTCGACTGAGCATTAACAATGACTACCTGGTACGATGTGTAAATATCGGAATTGGGAAGACAAAGGCGGTCTTGCGTGGTGCAGGTCACCCCCTCGTGTGCCGTATCGGCCTCAATAGATGCTCGCTAACAGCACTTGCCCCGACTGTCTGTTAAAGAATATAGGGGGGTATATCGTGTGCACGGGGAGGGCAGTGTACACTGTGTGTGTGTGGACACGTGTGTGTGTACACGCGTGTGTGTGTGTAGACACGCGTGTGTGTGCGTAGACACGCGTGTGTGTGTGTAGACACGCGTGTGTGTGGACACGTGTGTGTAGTGTATCAGGCATTTAAACATTCACTCTCGTTTGTACCCGTCATATTTGTGTTCTCCTATTAACATAAATTCCCCATTAGCGTGTCACGTCATTTGGGTACAAACCCACGCGGGCCCCATCTGACGGGCGCAGGAACGAAACTCGGCCATGAATGGTGACGTGGCGTTGCGGGCCCGGCGTGTAAACACCGCGCACGTGCCCACAGGTACCGTGCGGTCAGCAGCGAGGCAGGGCGCGTGAGGCACACGTGCAGATGAGAAGGTGGCAACAGCAGCAGAGGAGTGTTGTGGACACGATTTGGGAAAGTTGCGCGCGTGTGGGGACGACGGGGAGGGCCGGGAGCGGTCTCCACGGGTCCAGCGAGCAACGCGACGCGAGGGCCTCGGGCCGTGGCCGTGGAGACCGCAGGGCGGGTCGTGGAGGGCGCTGCTCTGCAGCAGCTGCAGGAGGCGAGGCGGGGGGGAGAAAGCGGTGGCGGTGCCATGGTGGCATCGCGGCTTTGGCCAAGACCACATCCCGAGCACAAATCCTGTTACGAGGGCAAATGACGCGGTTTGTGACCTGTATGTACGTTGGACTTCTTTCGCACAGTACATAGCCAACCGCGCTTATCGACGGTGCACGCGGCGTGCCCCCCACCCCGAGCGGCGGGGTTCTCGCAACCCTGGGCCTCGCACCCCGAGCGGCGCGCTCAATCATCAGGCGCAAGCGTCGAGGTTCATGTGTCGATGTTCACGCGTCGATGTTAACGTGCGTTGTCTAACAAACCTAAGACTACCAATTTGCACGGCACACTTGTTTTATTTTCTAGTCCGTAACTTTTCTCTTTAAATGAAAAACGATGTCTCAACATGTTTTGGCTTCAATCAAATTTGGATACCGTTCGGTGCACAATGCTCGCTCGGTGTGCAGAATATCTCTGCGCTGTCAGCCTCGTGTCACACGGAGCAGGTGGGGCGGTTTGATGATCGGTGCAATGTGTTCACGCGTAGGAAATTGTGAAAGGGGACGGATTCACATCTTGCACCAATGATTTCAGCCCGGTATTAAAGCCAGCCAGGCTCGGATTGCCAACTGCCCGGGATTGGGCCAGACAGTCCGGCAATTGGCATCTGTTCTAGGGCGGCAGGAATTGATTTTTACTGAGTTCTGGTGCCGTTATTGTGCTGAATTTTACGATAGGATACGGCACAGTGTGGATAGACCTAGGATGACTGAGAAATATCCGGATTTGGTCTGTGGTGGAAAGGGTGGCGAATCTTATTTTCTGCTTGTAAGAAAAGTACAACAATCTAAATATTATGTGAAAATATAAAAATGCGAACTGAAAATTCAACAATGCACTTTTTTTCTCACGTGACATACTGCAGCAGAGTCAAAATTAGTCAACACAACACGAGACGATTTCGACGATTTATATCGGTTAAGAGCCCTTTGAAACCTGGAGTTTTTATTTATTTAAAGTAAGGCCTGGGAGAGAATGCAGACATCATAACAGCACACAGGTTTACCCACGACCAGATCCGACAGCAGCTGCACGAGGTCTGTCCTCAGTGTCCCCCAATCTGCTCCCAGCTCTTCTCTTCCCCTTGGTCGCCGGACTCATGCAGACCACTGCAATGGGTGTCTCGGTCATCCGCCCTCCCCTATCCTGCACACACTCACCTGTGTATTCATGTTGAACTTCTTTAGCACCGTACGTAGCCAACCGTGCTCATTGGCCCACACCGCACAGCCGTTTTTGCCCAATCGCATCTACAGCTCTCACCTGCCACGGTCTCTTTGTGAGCAGCTTAGTCGGGCCAGGTTCTCTGATCCATTCGGCGGCACAGACAGCGGTGCGGCTTGGACATACCCTCGCCTTTCTGATCTTCTCGTTTAAAGTGGTTTGCAAAGTCCATCACATTCCTGATCTCCCAAACTCAGAGTGCAACATCGTCGAAGAAAACGGGTTCCAGTGCAACAAATTTAAACTCCGAGTGGAACGTCCAAACATCAAACCTCACGGGGGGCTCCGCTCTGGAAAGGGCGCTGTATGAATCCGACATAGAAGAGAGTCGGATTGGTTGGAACGGCTCAGGATGATTGCGTCGGATTCGCTGGGACTGGGGGCACGAGATGGCTCCAGAACGACTCCGTACAAGTGGAGGTGGCGACTTGGCGAGTTTAAAGCGATTTCCAAAACGCCCATTCAGCAGAGCGGTGGGGGGGGGGGACCGCTCGGGTTGAGGCCATGCTTCCCTTGCAGAAGCTTTTAATCCCCGGCTCTATCCATGTTCAATGTGACAGACACGGCCTGTCAGAACAACTTCACCACCGCTCAGCGCTTAAGTGTTAGATACAGAAAATGGCCATGCATAGTAAATGAAAGATATTTTGGGAAATATTGAAACATGTTGAAGAGTCGTCTGCTGCACGTTATTCTTATAAACTCGCCTCTTGCCCGTCCAAATCTGACACTTGCAAGCGAAAATCAGACCGCGACGAGATATTCATTGCATCAATTCGTGGGCAATTTGTAAGGGCGCGGTGACACAGACCTGTTTCATGTAAAGGTGATAATCCCTTGTTCATCACGACGTCCTTTTTACTTCGATGTCTCAACAGCGTGACGGAGATCACGTGACGTGAGGGTTCTGCCTTTGTAGTGAGGCGTGTGAGTTGACGCCGAGGAGGGGGGAGGAGGCGCCTCGCCCCCCCCAACGTGGAGTGACGTCACCCGCTAATTGTTATGAATGGGGTGGGGGGGTGTTCATTTGGAGGACGTCACCTTATAATGATTAAATCTTGACTTAAAGTTTTCGTGACTGCAAGAATTAATATTCTTTGGGTGTTTGGGTAAAGTCACGTAGATGGTTTAAAAGAAATGACGTCACGAGCGTTGCACACAGACATTCTTGGCTCATTCTAGTCGGTAATAATAATGGGGGGGGGTCCATTTGGAGGACGTCACCTGCTCATGATTATTAATGAGGGGGGCTGGTCGATGTGGAGTGACGTCATAGTAGGTATAAAATAAGTAAAGGGGCCGTCCATAAATGACGTCACGCACCTAGGGGGAGAGGGGGCCAGACATTTGTGACGATGTGTGACGAGGGGGGGGGGGGGGTTGAGAAATGTGACGTCACATCAAAATGCGCAACTCTAAATAAATATAGACAACACGTTCCACTTTATTAAATATAATTTTTAATAAAAAAATGATCCTACAACATCAGAGTGCAGCGCCACATTAAATACGCGCTACAATGACAATAGTTTAAAGCGATTTGAAGCATGTTTTATATATATTTTTAGGGGGGGGGGCAGAGCTTTGTGACCTCATATTTGAGGGGGGGGGGGTCTGACTTTTTGTGACGCCATGTGACGACGGGGGGGGGGGGGGTCAAAAACCGTCCAAAATCGCGTGACGTCATTTATGGACAGCCCCAAAGTTGTGAAGCTGCTCTAGCAGTGGTGCACAATCGCAAATACCAACGCAGCGTGTTCGTCGATGACGACATTCCCAAAAATGCAGAAGGACATTCGCAGCAGAGAAGTCTCACGGCCCAAAGCCGCAACTCTGATCCACGTTATTACTGCATCGCATATTACAGACACACTCCACTTCAGGGCAGTGTTATTGACCAATGTGGCTTTGTATGGATATCACAGCTCAGAGTTTAAGGTATTGACGTGACTGTTCCGGTTTACTGCGTAGCGATGTTCGGGCATCGCGCCACGAGGTGGCGACGATCCGCGTTTGGAAATTGGAGCGAGCAGTGGACCACACTGTGTCGTCACCTTGTGAGATGACGTCGCAGAACGGCTGACGTCAATTCGATAGCTCCCATATCCGCACGAGGTGGCGTCCATTCACAGGCCCTGAAATTATTGAAATAAAAGAGGCAAAGTGCTGGACCGCCGTGTGTGCGACTGTGGAGGTCGAGCCGGAGACCCTCAACGCTCTGAGCCAGTGGCCGACTGGAGTTGAGCCCATAATCTCAGCAGCACCGGTTCCACCCTCTGGTGTTGAGTTCATTAAAGGATGTCCTCGGGAGAGATGTAATTCAATTGCGTTTAATACATTATGCAATGTACTTCAAAGACTTTTGCCAAACTTAGTAATTTTACTTTTGGGACACTTTAAAGAAAATATTGAATATAATCACTTTCAATCAACTCACTCGTCGACTGAACACAGAACTGGGAAATCCCAGCGTGTGGTCGTGAAGTCTGCAAGACTTTCTTACTCAAGCCGATGGCTCGGGGGAGGCCTGACATCACACGTCCACGAGCCAGAAGAGGAATTACCCACGGAGGTGGCAAAGCTTCAGCGGCACAAATCCAAACATTCCCGCCGCAATTGATGTACCGCTGCGAAGTCTTCGTGCGTCGCTCTGCCCGCGATTCAAGAGCCAGAGCGGGGATGAGCAATGCTCAGAACATCGGGGCAGAGACCAGAACATCGGGGCAGAGACCCAATTCTCATTTACGACGA